AAGCCTGGGAGGATGGCTGTGTGCGGGTGTGGGGGGCTCAGGAGGGGATGGACTGGGGGGCCTGAGGCCTCTACCCTCCTCTGCCCCTCAGCCTGCCCCAGGGGGTCCTACAAGGCCTCGGCTGGGAATGCCCCCTGCTCACCGTGCCCTGCCCGCAGCCTCGCCCCTGACCCTGCGGCCCCTGCGTGCCCCTGCCTGGAGGGCTTCTACCGGGCCAGCTCCGACCCCCCAGAGGCCCCCTGCACTGGTGAGTTCCCCCACTCCTCCCCCGACCCCGGCCCCAGGGATGGGCGTGGGATGGGAGTGGGAGAGCCTGGAGGGCAACACGGGGCAGCTGGTTTGCATTTGCAGTGACTTCTTTCTCCTGTGTCCTTGCTTTTCTTCCCCGCCTCCTTCCCCCACCTCGCCCACCTCCTTCCTCTCTCGCCCCATCTGCCTTCTCTGCTTTCCCCTGCTTTCTGTCTCCTCCCTCCGGGCCGTCCTCCCTCCCCTGCCTCCTTCTTTCCCCAATCACCCCCGCCCCACGACTCCCGTCTTCGGGGCCCTTCCCTGCCCTGCACACGCCCTCCCCAGCACCCCCGTCGGCCCCTCAGGAGCTGTGGTTTGAGGTGCAGGGCTCTGCGCTCATGCTGCACTGGCGCCTGCCTCAGGAGCTGGGGGGACGCGGGGACCTGCTCTTCAACGTCGTGTGCAAGGAGTGTGGAGCGGGCGGCAAGGGCGCTTGTCGCCGCTGCAGGGATGAGGTGCATTTCGACCCCCGCCAGAGGGGCCTGACTGAGAGCCGCGTGCTCGTTGGGGGGCTCCGGGCACACGTGCCCTACATCTTGGAGGTGCAGGCCGTCAATGGGGTGTCGGAGCTCAGCCCCGACCCTCCCCAGGCTGCAGCCATCAATGTCAGCACCAGCCACGCAGGTGAGCCTTGCCCTCCCCTAAGCTGCCAGTCACCTCCTTAGAACCCTCTCCCACTCTCCCGACCCTGGAGGCCGCCACTAACCCCCCACTCCAGTTCCCTCCGCAGTCCCTGCTGTGCACCAGGTGAGCCGGGCCTCCAGCAGCATCACCGTGTCCTGGCCACAGCCCGACCAGACCAACGGGAACATCCTGGATTATCAGCTCCGCTACTATGACCAGGTGGGGAGCAGAGGGGCGCCCGGCGGGGATGGTGGGAGCCGGAAGTGCTCCGCAGCGGGGCTGGAGGTGGGGAGACAGGGGAGGCGCCTCGGAGCCCTGCCGCAGGGGCTGTGAGGGGCGTGGGTAGGAGCAGGGGGCGAGGGGCCCCCACAGCTGGCAGGGAGTGAGCAGCTGTCACCCCCAGGCAGAAGATGAATCCCACTCCTTCACCCTGACCAGCGAGACCAACACGGCCACCGTGACCCAGCTGAGCCCCGGCCACATCTATGGCTTCCAGGTGCGGGCACGGACGGCCGCAGGCCACGGCCCGTACGGGGGCAAGGTCTACTTCCAGACGCTGCCTCAAGGTGAGAGGAGGCCTGGACGGGGCGGGGGCGGCCCAAGGCATAGTGAGGAGGGGTCCAGGAACCATCCAGGCCTTGAACCTTCACCCCAAACCCTCCAGGCCAGGAGAGTGGCTGCCCACCGACCTTCGGGGCTGTGGGGGGGACGGGGTGTGGGGAAGTGGGTGCTTGCGGGGCGGTGTGTGAGATCTTCCACGCCTGTGACTCTGGGTGGCTGGTTCTCCAGGTGAGCTGTCCGCCCAGCTTCCTGAGAGACTATCCTTGGTGGTTGGGTCCATTCTGGGGGCGCTGGCCTTCCTTCTGCTGGCGGCCATCACTGTGCTGGCTCTCGTCTTCCAGAGGTGAGTCTCTCCCCGCCATGACCCAGCACCATACTCTCCAAAGCTCGGTCCCAAGCCCTGATGGCCCCGAGGTTCCCTGCAGAAGCGCCCGTGAGTGTCCTCCGCCACCACCCAGCCCCCGCCCTTGGGCCCGGCTCCTTCGAGCCACTGATCCCTGGCAGGACCTTGGCCTTCGTGGGCAGACTGGGGAGGAAATGGGAGAGGGAGTGTGATCGCAGGACTCTGGTTTGTCCCCCAGGAAGCGGCGTGGAACTGGCTACATGGAGCAGCTGCAGCAGTACAGCAGCCCAGGTGTGGGTGTGGCTGGGATGGGATGGGATGGGATGGGATGGGATGGGGGCCGGGAGGGCACCAGGCAAGGCTGGGCCCCCCAGGGTTGAGGGCAGCTCCTGGGCACCGTCTTCGGCAGTGAGAGAGCGTGCCTGGGGTGCGTGGGCCGCCCGCCTGCACACCTCCTCATAATGGACCCCGTGTGCCTGCAGGGCTCGGGGTGAAGTACTACGTCGATCCCTCCACCTACGAGGACCCCTGCCAGGCCATCCGAGAATTCGCCCGGGAGGTCGATCCCACGTACATGAAGATCGAGGAGGTCATTGGAGCAGGTATGGCAGAGGCAGAGAGAGGGTACGGAAGGGGTCCCAGCAGCGTCCCTCCTAAACAGGGCAGGACACTGAGTCCTTCCTGGAGACCCCCCCCCCAGCCTACACCTGCTCCCCCAGGCTCCTTCGGGGAGGTGCGCCGGGGCCGCCTGCAGCCCCGGGGACGGCGGGAGCAGGCCGTGGCCATCCAGGCCCTGTGGAGTGGAGGCGCCGAGAGCCTGCAGATGGCCTTTCTAGGCCAGGCCGCAGTGCTGGGCCAGTTTCAGCACCCCAACGTCCTGCGGCTGGAGGGCGTGGTCACCAAGAGCCGGCCCCTCATGGTGGTGACGGAGCTCATGGAGCTGGGCCCCCTGGACAGCTTCCTGAGGGTCAGTCAGGCTGGCGGCAAGGTGTGGGGGGTGGCTCGGGCCGGGAAGGTGGGCAGTTCTCAACTGTCCGGGGGGCAGAGCCGTGTCTACGCGTTCACTCCCCTGCTGCCCCACCTCCAGGGTCTCCGTCCTTCATTCCCAGACCGTTCGCTGATCCCCAGGTCCCTTTGCCTTCTGGTGCCAGTGTCTGTGCGTGATGTGCCGAGGTCCCCCACCCCTTGGCTGACCTCTGCCCCCCCATCCCACAGCAGCGGGAGGGCCAGTTCAGCAGCCTGCAGCTGGTGGCCATGCAGCGGGGCGTGGCCGCCGCCATGCACTACCTGTCCAGCTTCGCCTTCGTCCACCGTGCGCTCTCTGCCCACAGTGTGCTGGTGAACAGCCACCTAGTGTGCAAAGTGGCTCGTCTTGGCCACAGTCCTCAGGTGAGAGCACAGCCTTGGGGCCCCGCATCCCTCAGGGGGCGCCGGAGGCTGAGCTGGAACTGGGGCGGTGGATGCCTCAGGTGGTGTATCTTAGTGTCTGAAGGGGCAGAGCTCAGCTGTGGGATGGAGGGATTTCAGGGACTGAGGACACTGGGGAAGAAAGGGGACTGGGAGGGTGGGAGTCCTAGAACCACCTCCTGCCCTTCCCTCATGCTGACTAGTGTCAGAGCCGCTGGGTACAAGTCGTGAACACGCCACCCTCAAGCTCTGTGACTTTGCACAGCCTTTGCATCTGCAAAATGGAGATAATGACATCTATGCTACAGGGTCCTTATGGGATTAAACGAGAGGCTTGATGTGAAACCCTTGACGCATATCTGAGCACGTAGTAGTTGATCAATAGCTAGGACCACTGCTCTGATTATTGCTGTTGTTACTTTCGACCCCACCCCTCAGGGCCCAAGTTGTATGCTTCGCTGGGCAGCCCCAGAGGTCATTGCACACGGGAAACATACAACATCCAGTGACGTCTGGAGCTTCGGGATAGTGATGTGGGAAGTGATGAGTTACGGAGAACGGCCCTACTGGGACATGCGTGACCAGGAGGTGAGCTCTTGACCTAGACACTGCCGATTCCCCACCGCTATTCCTCCAGCCCACCAGCCTTCACAGACTCACACATTCGAAGCCCTCCACTCGTGGCTCTCATTTTCCATATCTGTCTTTTAAGTTCCTTTCCAACCTCATGGTTACCTGACAATACATTCCTTTCCACTAGCAATAGCCTCCAAGCACCCTGTGCTTCCTCTAACCCCCAGGTACTAAATGCGATAGAGCAGGAGTTCCGGCTGCCCCCGCCTCCAGGCTGTCCGCCTGGACTACACCTGCTTATGTTGGACACTTGGCAGAAGGATCGTACCCAGCGACCTCACTTTGACCAGCTGGTGGCTGCGTTTGACAAGATGATCCGCAAGCCAGACACTCTGCAGGGAGCAGAGCACTCCGGCGGGAGCCCCAGGGACAGGTCTGGAGCTTGGGACTAAGGCGTGGGAAAGCCAGGGAGGGATGAGGCAAACCAAAAAGAAAACTGAGGCGAAGGGGCCTAGGATGAAGAGGGGACATTGACCTGCCTGCTGCTCCCCCTCAGACCTTCCCAGGCCCTTCTGAACCCCGTGGCCCTGGACTTTCCCTCTCTGGACTCCCCCCAGGCCTGGCTCTCGGCCATCGGCCTGGAGTGCTACCAGGACAGCTTCTCCCAGTCTGGCCTCCACACCTTCAGTGACGTGGCTCAGCTCAGCCTGGAGTAAGCAGGGAGAGGTGGGGGAGGGGAGCCCAGGCCCCAGGGCAGGGGTCGGCGCCTGGGATCTTGGAGACACTGGCCCCGATTTAATCCACTCCTTCCCCACCAGAGACCTGCCAACCCTGGGCATCACCCTGGCCGGCCACCAGAAGAAGATGCTACACCACATCCAGCTCCTGAAGCAGCACCTGAGGCCGCCGGGCTCTGTGGAGGTCTGAGCCCCGGGCAGAGAGCCCCGGGCAGAGAGCTGTGAACTGACAATGCCCGTGACCCAGTCCTGGACGCAGGTCCAAGGAGGACATGGGAGATGTGAGCCCGTCTCCACCTTGGCCACCGTGAGAAGCGCCCGCCTGCCACGCTAAACCCGAGCCGGGGGACGCCTCACTCCCTGGTCCTCTGCCCCTCCACTGCCCTCCCCCACATTAAAGGGAAAGAAGGGATTTTGCAAGTTGGAGGTGTGGTGAGGCCTCGGTCTGCAGGGAAGGGGTGGGAAGGCCTTGGAGCAGAGAGGCGGGGCCAGGAAGACCACACCGCAGGGGAGGGTGCACAAGGACAGCAGGAAGGACTTTATTGGAAGGTAGGAGGTGGCTTCCCCGCCAGGCGGTACCCATCCCCTCATTACACCTTTCCTCAGCCTCCTCCACTGTCTGCAGCTGTGACACCGGGGTGGAGACCAGTGCCCGAGGCAGCAAGCCTTTCTTAAAGTGCTTGGCTCAGACAGTGCAGCCGCCAGGGTGGGTGAAGCTGGGTCCTTATTCGCGCCGGGCCCTGTGCTTACCATGAGGCGTGGGCCTGCTCCTTGGTTTCCCTTTATTGTGTTCTACCCTCTGGACCTGGCAGATGAGAGGTCTAGCCTTTGCTTCTTGATGCTGCAGGGCACCAGTGTGGGCGGAGACACTCAGAGCTGGTACTCCCAACACTGCCCATCCTCCAGAGCCATGGTCATCATTCCCCTCCCCTCTCTCCTCCGGGTTGCTTCCCGCAGCCTCTCCCAGTTCATGCTGCTGCGGGAAGTACTTCGAGACACCGAGGGGGCAGGAAGGGACAGGTGCGGGCCGCCCAGCTCCCGTCCTTCCATGTCATCTTCGGAGCCTGGGTTGCAGAAGGCCTGCGCGTAGCGCCGGACGCGCTGCCGGTTGAGATCCTGTCTGTCTTCCACCCTGGCGGCGGGGAAGGAAGAGTTGGAGAGGCAGACCTTGGACCAGCCCTTGTCTCCTGGCTCCGCCCAACCCGACTGCTGGTGCCCTTTTCCCTTGTCTGCAGCCCGAGTGGGCACAGGGGGTGCCAGGCCTTGGGAAGCAGCACAGAGTCGAGTCCAGCAGCTCTGGGGATGCTTTCAGGGCCCAGGAACCTAGCAGGCCCCTTTCTCCCAGCGAGGCCTGAAGCCTAGGGAGCACACAGGCCTGCACAGGGCCGCTGGGGGCAGGAGGTTGAGCAGAGGGACGCCAGCCCCCGCGGTCACTCACCGCAGGAACCAACGGTCCCCCAGCCCGAACTTGCGCCCGCAGATCCCGGAGCGAGGCCACAGGCAGCGAGGCAGCTTCTTTTCCAGCATCACTGTGGTGGCCACGACCTGCGTGTGGGGACAGAAGAGGAGGAAATCAGAGGCTGGGTGCAGACCAGGAGAGGAGAGGATGCCAGGCAGAGGGACAACAGTTGCGCAACATCTGGGAAACTCACTCATGGTTTCCCAGAGGTGACAACACCCCTGAGGTGGGGATGGCAGCGTCAGCTTTGTCAGCTCTCTTCTGCGGGAGAGAGTGGATGGGCCTTGAGCCCTACAGCACTTCACCCGTGACCTGACATCCGGGCCAGGCTGGCCCTGCAGCAGGTGGGGAGACCTTGCTCCAAGGAGACAGGAAGGAGGGCAGAGCAAAGAGAAAGGGTCCGCAGGGCTACAGAATATTTTGACCCTACAGCTGTAAAGGCCACTTAGAAACACAAACATCCTGCAGAGAAATCTCATATCAATCAGTCCATTCGCATGGAAAAAAATATTTTCATCAGCAAACCCTGTTTAGCCAGCTTATGGGTTTTTTTTAACTCCATTTTCTACACAACACAGTTAGATGCCATCCGATTTGAGGGATTTCCATTTATTTTGCTGAAATTATTTTTGTTGAGATAAATTATTTTGTATTTTTAAATGATTTGATCCAATTCGTTCTTTTGTCCCCATCAATTACCTGACTGGAGCTAGTTTCTGCTATATAGGGAGTTTGTGTGGCATTACTTTTAACAGGTCCAATTTTTCTGGGTCAGATTTTGAAGACAACTATTGCCAGAAAGATGTGATACTCCAGCTTTTTTATTCAGTAACAAAATTTACTGAATGCTGTAGTAGCCACTACTAAGCGTCATTTCTTGTTGATGATTCTAGAAAAGACAGATTTGACTTTTTGAGAAAACTGAGGAATTCTTTTCGGCTATTCCAGTATTGCTCAGTCGTACCGCTAATCCAGTTCTGTGCACTTTGCATAATCTGTACTGTGCACTAACCGTCCAAACCTATGTTGGGGGTCAAAATATCCGGCCTCTGAGTTTGGCCCCCCGTCCTTGGCAGGAAGGGAATGACTTGCACTAACCCTCCCAGCCACCAGGGGGCGCTCACCTGGGCCCTCCAGAGCTCGTCCCGCTCGTGGGCCACGCGCCAGTGAGTGTCACCCATCATAGCGATGAGGAGGTTGAGCATGAGAAGAGCGGCAATGATGGCGAAGGCAGCATAGGTGACGCTGTACATGAAGGGCAGATCCACGGCGTAGTTGGCAGGGCCATCAATGATGGTGAGGAACAGCTCGAAGGTGCTGAACAACGCCATGGGGTAACTGTAGAAATGGCCCAGCTCGTTAGGGTCCTCTGTCTGGAAGATGATAAAGAAGGCTGCTCCACCCCAGGGGGTGAGAGTTACATGTGAATAAACCGTAGCCAGCTCTTTGCTGCCCATTTCAGTGCTGTTTTCCCCTTCCTCTCCAACACCACCATCCCAGCCCTGCCTCACTCTGCACTTCGGGTTCTTTCGTTCCCTTAGTTTCCATATGGCTCACCCTCCTGATCCCGAGAGCCACCGCCCCCTAACACTCCCGAGGGACAGCCCATCCTTAGATCCTATGGCCTCCTCTTACCTCTGCCTGCCTTCCCCCCCCCCCCCCCCGCCCCCCACCAAGTTTATCCAGAGGTATTCTGTGCTATCTAGTTTCCTCCAGCCCAGGGCCCCCATCTGAGACGATGTACCTGAGGCAAAGCCCAGGATGACCACAGCCATCAGCCAGCAGAATCTCATCAGATCGCCAAAAATCATCTAGACGGAGGGGAGGGAAGGGAGGACAGCTGCACATCAATCCCTTGAGCAAATGCCCCTTCCAGCCTCTAAGAGGTCTAACCGTGAGACGTCTAACAGCTCCACCCCTCCCCCATAGGGTTGGCAAACTGGCCTACTGGCCAAATCTACTTGGTCAGTTTCGGTTGGCCCTTGAACAAGAATTTTACATGTTTAAAGGACTGAAAAAAATTTTAAAGGAGAAAGAGAAAAAAGGAGAAGAAAATCAAACAGACTATGTGGCTCTCCGAGCCTGAGACCTCTGTTATCTGACCCTTTACAGAAATGTTTGCAGCCCCTGCTCTAGGACCTTTCTCTAGAAAGCTCGGGAGGCAGCACGGACCTTCTGGATCATGACGGTGAAGGGGCCCAGCATCTGGAATCCTCGGGCAAAGTACATGACGTTGCACCAGCCCAGCACCAGGGCGAAGGACATGGGTACCACCTCCCCGTTGGTGTTGGTGAGCCTCATCACCATGGTCACCAGCACCATGCAGGCATAGGTGATGCTGGGGGGAGAGCAGAGAGGGGGTGATGAGAGCGAGACTGGGATGACCCTGGGGGTCCAAGAGCAAGGGGGTGATGGAAATGGTGCCCACACACTCAGGTTCAACCTCTGTAAGCTCGATACACAGGGTCACACACACATCAGAGAGGGGCCTCTGGAACTGGCGTTCTCCAGAGGTCAGGGATCCGGGGAGTAAAACTACAGCCTTGGTGAGGAAAGGGACGGGGGTGAGAGGAAGGAGGCTCACAAGAGCACATGGAACGGTCCTCCAAGGATGGTCTGTCCAAAGAAGCGAGTGACCCCCACGCGGAAAATGTCTGGAATCTGGAGAGAGGCCAGGAAGACACAAAGGCCCTTGGAGACTGAGGCTCGGGCTGGATCCCCGCGGCAGACAGCCTCACCCCCGGATCCCGACCACAACACACCTCTATGAGCAGAATGATCACAGCTCCGAAGACGGACACCAGCTCCCCCACCAGTCGGAGGTGATCCTCGGGGGTCACATAGGCCTCCTGAGGGGAGAGACGTGGTCAGAGGACTCGGGGCTTCCCAGCCTGCCCCTGGGTACAAGTCAGCGTCCTTGTCTAGGGTCACAAACCAGTCAGATTCTTTCTAACCTGTTACAGTTGGCGCTCTCAAACTCTGCTCTTAGAGCATCGGTATGTTTCTGTGTGCATGTATTTTGAATTTGCGCCTGTGTATTTGAGACTTAAGCGAGGGAGAAACGTGGGTGGTAAGACGGGAACGTGATTCACGTGGAAGAAAGGGCAGAGAGCTGGATCCCGCCTGAAGCTCTGCTGCTCCTAGGGTGTCACCTGAAGTAGCTTCTGCTGTAGGACGGTATTGTCCCGAGGGTCAGTTTGGTTGTGGGTCCTGGGATTGAGGGGGCGGTAGACACAGCACGTGGTAAAGCAGACCAGGTACAGCAGGTATATGGCAGCCAGCACACAGAAGTATGGCCACCCATATCTCTTCCACTTGAGGTTCACCAGCTCCTTCACTGGCGTCTGGTCCAGGATCTGGCGAGCCTGCAGCAGAACAAGAGGAGAGCAAGCAGCTCGGAGACCCTGACTCCCCTCCCCCGCTGCTCCCTACCCTGAAGACCACACCCCCTCCTCCCCCTTCCCCGTACCCCGCACCTCCCGCTTCTTGGAGGTGACGATAAGCTCCAGCAGGGACTGCTCCTCCCCTGAGGAGTCGATCTCCGTGAGGTCGTAGAGAGTGGAGGTCAGCGGCCCGCATGTCCACTGGATGTGCTTCCGCTTCTGCATCAGGTGCTGGAACATCTAAGGTTGGGGGTGCAGGAGCAAGCAAAGGGGACTGTCACAGGGTGTGGCTGGGAAGCTTGTCCAGAGCACAGCACCCCTGAAAGGGTGCTCACTGTTTACTCAAGGACCACAGCCTTGCGGGCAAAAGAACCCATCTTCATGCCAGCCTCCAAGTTCATCCTCTTCCCCTGTAACTCCCTCTAGAGCTTGGAAACAAGAGGTGAGAGGATGCAGGGCTGCTGCTTGTGGGCTGGAAGGACAAGAGGACGTGGGCATTTGAGACCACTCCAGGGTGGGATCTAGACTCTGTAAGTCCCCAACAACTCAGGGGAGAGAAAGTGGGCAAGAAAGAGAGACAGGGGCTGCGGAAGAAATTCCAACTCAAGCTGGAAATGGGACCTCAGCATCGGGGATAACTGGTGACATCTATTTCCTCAAAGGGCCAGAAACGTAAGATGAAGGTCAGGAGAAAGACACGGGGGGACTGGGGGCAGGTCCCTCACCATGGTGTTGCCCTCCACTCCAGCCAGCTTGAAGGGGGTGAGGCCCTGGTGATTGGGCACGAGGTCCAGGGACTGCAGGTGGTCCCTGCGCCTGTCGTGGGACAGCAGCAGGCTGTACATGTGGCAGGCAAAGGTTTTGCTGGGCTGGAGGACGAGGATGTGCAACACTGTGTTTCCTGGGGGAGGACACGGGCTGTCACGTGGCCACTGGGACTAGAGTCCCTGATGCTCCCCATGACCCCCCCCCCCCCCCCCCCCCCCCCCCCCCCGGGGGGACGGGGGCCCCAGCCCCCCCCCCCGCCCCCCCCCCCCCCCCCCCCCGCGCCCGGGTGGACCTGAGGGCTGTCCCGGCCCCTCCTCTGCAACCCAGCTCCCCCTCCAGCCCGGCTCTCACCCAGGGAGTCCTGGGCCCGGATGTCAGCGCCGTGCTCAATGAGCAGCCTCACGGTCTCCTCGCTGCCCATGCAGGCCGCAAAGGACAAAGGGTGCTCCCCTGGGGGTGCAGAGGGCCCCGTGGCTTGAGGGTGCAGGCTGGGATGGGCAGTCTCTCCAGGGGACTGCCTCTCCCTCCCCACGTCTCAGCTCTGGGCCTGGGGACGCTTGTCAGCAGAACCAGAGGCGGGGACGGTGCAGGGGGCCCTGCGTCGGGGGCTGGCTCTGGCCTTCAGCCTGAGGAGGGCGGACCCCTCCCAGCTTCCCCCGGCATGGAGCCCCCACAGCCTGCCCTCCCTTTGCTATTGGCCCCCTCCCCACCCTCCCAGCCCCGGCCCTGGCTCTCACCAAAGTAGAGGAGGTTGTGGGGACTGAGGCAGAAGGCTGAGCCTACCGCCCTTGCAGAGACGCTGGCCCCGTGGGCAAGCAGGGCTTTCACCAAGTTCACATTCTGGTTCATGATGGCCATGTGCAGTGCCGTCTGACCTGGACAAGAGAGCTCTTGTCATGGGGTGTGTCTCCAGGATCCTGCAGGGGGTCCCTCCCATATCTCCACAGGGTCCTCTTCACCAGGGCAGCCTTTCGCGGGGAGGATGGGGTGGGGGTTCCCAGGGGATCCAGCTGCTGCCCGCCTCTTCCCACTCTAGGCCTTTCCATCTCAGGGGGTGGCGCTCGAGTGAGCCGCACTAAGGATGCTGAGGAAGAAGGGACATGAAGAGGGGGGTAAAGAGGAGGGGGGCTCACGTTCCCTCTTGGTTTCCCCAAATTGTCCACCACCAGGACTGCCCTGCAACAGTGAGCTGGTCGCTCCTCCCTCCGTCCTGAGCCCCTTGGCCTCTCACCTTCATACAGCTCAGAGGTAATGGGCTCGTCGACCAGCTCCGGGGCGGCCTCCATCAGCACGATGGCGGCCTCCAGGTGGTCATAGAGGGCCGCCACGTGCAGCGCTGTCTCCCCCAGGGCTCCTGACGTTGACAGAAAGAGTCACATGGCTTTGCTGGAGCAGGGGAATGGGGACTGGAGAGACTTGGGGGCCCACGGCAGAAGGTCCCAGGGCTGTACTGGCAGGAGGCTGGTGGAGGGTGAGCGCGTGCACAGGGCTGACCCGGGGGGAGAGGCGCCGTACCTTTCTGGTGGACATCGCAGGCTTCATATTTGAGCAGCTTGACGAGAGCCTGGATATCGTTCTCTTTGGCAGCTGTGAGGAGAGGAGACTCCCAGATCCTACAAGGGAGGGGAGCAGGTCCGCTTGTGGAGCCAGGTCTGTCATACCCCTCGGTGGCAACGAATTCCAAGGGTCCTCATCCAGAGAGGTGGGGCCGTTGGTGGGGGGGGGGGGGGGGGGGGAAGCGCTGCCTGATCTCTCTTTCTCTGACCCGTTAGTTAACCCAAAGCAACTTTTTCCCCCTTTAGCTTGCGTGGGAGAATGTCAGGAACTGCTTTCCTTTCCCCTGGGTGCTGTGACCAGGGGGTGTGTGTGTGTGTGATCTGTGTACCTGGCTTATAGAGGGAGGAGTTTCAGTTAAAATACTCATTCACCTCCTGACCTATTGACCTCTGGAGGAACCCTGTTTGAGCTTCACTCAAAGCCTTGAGATTACTCTCCAAGATAAGCTTTGTTTTCATGGACTAAGGGTACAAGGAATTCCTTCCTCATATTTGCGGAGGAGGCTGACACGTAGACGCCGGCAGATCTTCCTCCTGTTGTGTGATGCTCGCTTTTTTTTTTTTTTTTTTGCGGTCCGCGGGCCTCTCACTGTTGTGGCCTCTCCCGTTGCAGAGCACAGGCTCCGGACGCGCAGGCTCAGCGGCCATGGCTCACGGGCCCAGCCGCTCCGCGGCATGTGGGATCCTCCCGGACCGGGGCACGAACCCGCGTCCCCTGCATCGGCAGGCGGACTCTCAACCACTGGATGCTCGCCTTTTTAGACCTCGGCAAAGCCCTTTGATTCTGGCACTTTCCTTCCTACAACAGCATATCTGGGGGTCAATCGAAAAGCAACCGTGGGTCTTTTTTTTCCTTTTGGCCCCTACATCACATTACAGTCTCTCCCTACTTTCTATCTGCTTCTCACTTGTTTTAGGCAAAGAATCATCTTCTTTGAATTTCCAGTCTTACACCTACAACGAACTAAAAAACCTTTTATAATAACCTTTATTTTATAAAAGGTTTTATAAAAACCTTTTATAAAAACCTTTTGTAATATCAAAACTTAGCCAAACTAAGACACACGGGGTCCCTTTTATTTAATTTTCTCTCCTGGCCCACTTTCTACGGGAGTGAATGAAATAACGCTATTTACCCACAGATGGCCAGTTATGTGAACAGGAGCTCATACACCAAAGAACCCACAGTAGCAGGAAATCGACTCCACGAGCTGGGGGTGAGTGGGTGCTCAGGAGAGGAGGAAAGAGCACGACACGTCCATCTCCCTGAATGCTGGCCCCAGCTCCCCGCGTCAGGCCACGCAGGCAGCCACCTGCCAATTCAACATCCCTCTCCGTTCAGTCCCTGCCCTCTCATTCCTGCTGATGCCCGTCCTCATTCTCTAGGCCAGGATTAGCAAAATATCCTCTTTCCCTACACCGCTGTTTCCCCCAATCCATTCTTCGGGATGCCACCAAGATGCTCTCTCTAAACGGCAGATGCAACCACAGTTCACAAAAGTCTGATGGCTCCTTAAACACCCAGGAGAAGAAACTCAGAAATCCTCTACAGCCTTTGTGCAACTCCTTTTCCATGCTCTCTTCCTCTCATTGGCCCTCCACCCAGCATTTCAGCCTCACCACCCCAGGGCACACCATCCTCCCCATTCCTGTGCTATAACTCAACTCTCCTTCCACCTGGACTCTAATCCCCCACCCTGCCCTAATCACCCTGTTCTGTGCTCGCCATGCCTGGGAATATGCCCAGCGTACGGCAGACACTCATTGCCATTTTCTGTAGAAGGAGTGAACTGTAGCAATGCCAGAAGGTGGTTTGGCTTTACTGTCCTTCCTTATTATCTCCATCAGGCTGCCCCCTAAGCCAACCTTAGGCAAACGTATAATCTAAGTAAAAAATAGTATGCTTGGTATGCGCACACAGCTGCAAAACAAGTTTGTTACACCTTCCACCCCCCCACCCCCCATCAGCGCTACCATCACAACTACCTTTCCCAACAATTTGCCCAAAGCCCCCCTTTATAGATGCTGTAAAGTAAGCAGTATTCCCCAACACACACACACACACACACACACACACACACACACACCACACCACACCACACAGCAGGAAGTTTTCCACCCTCTCCTCTGGCCTTTCATTTTAGCATTTTCACTGTGCTCTGTGATTACCATCTGTCTCTTCCTCTACACTAGGGGCCCTTGAGGTCAGAGGTCAGCCACTTTCTCATCTTTGTAAACTTTCTCTGCCCCCCTCCAATTAGCTTCTAGTTTTGTGCCCCGTTTTGACTGAAGGTTAATGGCAAAGCTAGGAATAAGTCCAAGGGGGCTTCTGACCCAAGTGCAGAGTCTCCTCCCTGCTTCCTAAGACGTGAGGGAGGAGGCTAGTCAGTGGCAGCCCCAAAGATGTCCCCCTTGGTCCTGACACATCTCTGATGCCCATAAATGTCTCTCACAAACCTCCAGTCCATACGTGTTCTGTTTCTGGCCTCTGCTGACTGCCCTACTGGCCTGGGAAGGGCAGGGAGATATTGTTCGAATGGGGCTTGCCTGATTTACCAAGTAAAAACACGAGGATGCTCGGTTAGAGTTGAATTTTAGATACACAGAAAATAAGTTTTTAATATAAGTATGTCTCATGCAATATGTGGGCCACACATATACTAACAACTTATTTGTTGTTTATCTGAAATTCAAATTCAACTCTGTCTTGTATTTTATCTGGGAACCCCAACCAGGTTTATGGAGACCTGGCCTCCTTTGGGTGGCAAACTCCAGAATCCAGCAAACACGGAGGGCAGTGTCTGAATGGTTCCCAGGGAAGCAGGCAGAGGCATGATTTGCAATAGCATCACAGGGCCACAAGGGGGCAGCAGAGAAAGCCCTTGCTCGCATTCTTGGCAATAAGGCAGATCCCGCCCCACTCCAACCACCTGCCTACCCTTGTGCCCCATAAAAAAAGGCACAAGAGCGGACGCATCCAAAGGTTCTCGTGCCTGGGAAACTAGCTTCTTCCAAAGCAACCCAGCACAGACGTTTAGATCCGGAGCAAAATCTACACATCTTCACCAGACACCTCCCTACGGCAGGAAGGAGAGACGATATTGCCAAAATGTCTTCTGATTTTAATGGTTAAATTATACTCCCTCCCTCCCAGGGGAGAGTCTCACTTTATTTAGTAGAATGCTTAACATTACTACCAGAATCTCTTACTTACAAACAGTGATTTAGAGCGGTGGTCCTTAACCAGCGGTGATCCCCTGCCGCCTCCCAAGGAACTGGGCAATGTCTGGAGGCATTTTTGGTTGTCATGACTGCAGGAAGGGGTGCTACTGGCATCTAGCGGGCGGAGGGCAGGGATGCTGCTAAGATTCTTACACAAGGCAGCCTCCCGTAACAGAGAATCATCTGCCCAACACGTCAAAAGTGCCAAGGTAGCGAAACCCTGACCTTGAGGTATAATCATTCATAATCTTTTTAGGAAAGTATTTTTCACATTAAATAGAGTAAGAAATTCCCTCTGTGTGTTTTCTTTTAAATCATTAAATACTCAACTAAGAAACAAAAGGTGAAGCCTTTCAAACACCCACTGATTAAGTATTTAATAAAAGACTTAATAAAAGAAATTAGAGAGCAGATCTGAAACTATAACGATATGAAAGGTGTTTCTGGAATTTAGAATGTCTTATTTTGCTTGACAATTATAAAATTGAACGGTATGGTTCAGTAATGGACTGGTAGAAATGCTACTATAGGATTTCTGGCATAAAACCTAGCACACTTTCTATAGAGTAAATAAATCATTGATCTTCCCTCAGGGCTCCCTCTGGGCCCCAAGGATCTGTCACTCGCCTTTTCCCTCTGTCCCCTCAGCCCGTCCTCTCTGCCTCCATTCTTGTGGATACGTACACGTCTGTGTGTGCACTCACATGTGGACCTGCACACGTGGGTGCTGTAGGCACGAATGAAGTTTTGTATTTGGTTGCTGGGAAACAAGGCAGGATCAAGAGTGTCTAGAGAAGAATTCAAATCTGCATTTTAGAGCTAGAAAGTCCCTAGAAACCTAGTCTAATCTGTTCATGTAATCGATGGAGAAAGAAGCCTGAAGTCCCGAGGTGATTTGTCCAAACAAGTCAGAGGCAGCGCTGGGACTCCCGATGGCCATTTCTCTGTCCCTATTCTCTGTGTTAATCAGGATCCGAAGAGGGGTCAGAGCAGGTACGGGGGGCACGGGAGCCACATGTGTGGGTCCCACTGGTTTCTCCACCAGCCCCTCCTGGAGAAGCGTGCCAGCTGGGCAGGGGAGGGCCACACCATCTAGAAGCCCTGACTCTGGTTCCCTGGGTGGATCCAGCTCTGATAGGCGGAAGCTCACAACCCCTCTAACTCCTGCCGTCACTGGGACTTGCCTTTTGACTTTCCTTATGTCTTTTTTTTTTTTGGCGGTACGCGGGCCTCTCACTGTTGTGGCCTCTCCCGCTGCGGAGCACAGGCTCTGGACGTGCAGGCTCAGCGGCCATGGCTCACGGGCCCAGCCGCTCCGCGGCACGTGGGATCTTCCCGGACCGGGGCACGAACCCGCGTCCCCTGCATCAACAGGCGGACTCTCAACCACTGCGCCACCAGGGAAGCCCCCTTATGTCCTTTTTAATCACAACAGTCCCATGGGTGAAATGTGCTTTTTAGCTTCCAAAGCAGCATCTCACTTACTATCACGTTTGCTCTTTACAGCCCCGTGACACAGGCTGAATCATTCTCTCATTTTTCCGCAAAGGAAACCGAGGCAGCCAAGCCAAATCCTTGCCAGAAGATCAGACAGAGTTTAAGGCAGAACGCTTGGCTGAGAACCTAGCCTCAGGCTCTCACCACTCAATTATGTGGTTCTTCTAGTTTTATGACTCTTCCCAATTTTGCTGGCGGTGCGGGTGAGTTGGGAGAGCAGCTGGTGCAGCGACCACAGGTGAAGCAAAGAGCAGCCCTGAGTGGGGAGGAGGCGTGCCCTGGCCACTTGGGGCGACCTCCCTCCAGCTCAGGTTCTGGGCGATGGGATGAAGAAGCCA